CATCATCATCATCATCATCATCATCATCATCATCATCATCATCAGCATCATAATCAGCAGCAGCATCATCAGCATCAGCATCATCATCATCGTCATCATCACCATCATCGTCATCATCGTCACATGACATCATCATCGTCATCATCGTCATCATCATCATCATCATCATCATCATCATCATCATCATCATCATCATCATCATCATCATCATCATCATCATCATCATCATCATCCTCCTCATCCCCTCCTCCTCCTCCTCCCTCCTCCTCCTCCCCCGCCTCCTCCCTCCTCTTCCTCCTCCCTCCTCCTCCTCCTCCTCCTCCTGCTCCTCCCCCTCCTCCTCCTCCTCCTCCTCCTCCTGCCTCCCTCCTCCTCCTCCTCCTCCTCCCTCCTCCTTCCTCCTCCTCCTCCCTCCTCCTCCTCCCCCTCGTCGTCGCCGTCCTCATTCCCCTCCTCCATTCCCTCCTTCTCCTCCTCCTCCTCCTCCTCCTCCTTCTCCTCCTCCTCCGCCTCCTCATCCTCCTCCTCCTTCTCCTTCTACTCCTCTCTTCCTCCTGCTCCTCCTCCATTCCTTTCCTTATAAACAACTTCTCCCTGTCGCACCCCGAGGCAAGTTTGTCGGGCGGGCTGGGCGTTTCGCCTGAGACTTCCTCTCCATATATGACTCTGAAGCTTAGAAGTTGGCAACAGTTTCACCGATGGAAGGTGGGTCGTTTTCAAAATGCGGCTCTCGCCTTAGCGCGGCGCACATTCGGTTTAAACATGTGCAATAGCTTCACGGATTGAGGGCGGGTCGTTTTCAACATGTGGCTTGCCTTGGCGCGGCGCACATGCTTTTTTCTATAACAAATGCAAGAGTTTCACGGATTGAGGGCGGCTCCTTTTCAAAATGTGGCTCTCGCTTTAGCGCCGCGCACACTCGTTTACAATATTTCTAAAAGTTTCACGGGCTCCCATCATCAACGTACCAGAAGTGACGTGTTGGAAGGACACTGGATGATGCTGGTGCAACAGTTCCGTTGGTTCTCCGTGTTGAAATCCTGGGGATGGCGTTCTAGCACGATTCAGGATCGTCAAGACGCAACAGTCAGGCTGATCCGTGGCGCTGGCATCCCGAGAACAATGTTTTGGCATGCTTCAGGGTCTTCAGACGGGTGTCTTCCAATGAGACTGCTCCATCAATGCAAATGGACCTTCGTAGGGGCCTATGAATAGGGAGCTTAGAGGGAGGGTTTATTCCAACATCATTGATGACTCTTGGGTCTACAGTGGTCCTCCTCCTCCTCCTCTTCCTCCTCCTCCTTGTCCTCCTCCTCCTCCTCCTTCCTCCTCCTCCTCCTCCTCCTCCTCCTCCTCCCCCTCCTCCTCCTCCTCCTCCTCCTCCTCCTCCTCCTCCTCCTCCTCCTCCTCACCATCATCATCATCATCATCATCATCATCATCATCATCATCATCATCATCATCATCATCATCACATCATCATCATCATCATCATCATCATCATCATCATCATCATCATCATCATCATCATCATCATCATGATCATCATGATCATCATGATCATGATCATGTCATCATCATCAGCATCATCATCATCATCATCATCATCATCATCATCATCATCATCATCATCATCCTCATGATCTCATCATCCTCATGATCCTCTGATCCTCCTGATCCTCATGATCCTCATGATCCTCATGATCCTCATGATCCTCATGATCCTCATCCTCATCCTCCTCCTCTCCTCCTCCTCATCCTCATCATCCATCATCATCATCATCATCATCATCATCATCATCATCATCATCATCATCATCATCATCATCATCATCATCATCATCATCATCATCATCATCCCCCCCTCCTCGTCGCCGCCCTCCTCCCCTCCTCCTCGTCCTCTTCCTCCTCATCCTCCTCCTTCTCCTCCTCCTCCACCCCCTCCTCCTCCTCCTCCTCCTCCTCCTCCTCCTCCTCCCCAGGGCTGGCGCCGCACCCGACTGGCGCCAGACGGCATCGACGCTTGGTCGGAGTGTTCCGCGGGAGGCCGGGCAGGCGGGCGAGGGGTGCAGCTCCGCCGGCAGGCCTGGCGACGCAGGCAAGCGGGCTGCGCCTGCTCCGTCGTCGCGCAGCACCGAGCTCAAGTTGTCTTGGAACCATCTAGCGCGTGTGATGTGGCCGGGTGGGTGGGTGGGCGGGTTCGCCGGCACACAACGTAACACGTTGCACGCGCACTACGAACAGCATACCTGCGCGCGAAACAACAGGCGCTGCTGCAACGGGGGTGGGTGAAGCGGAGGGCGTTTTGTTATCTACTGGGTGGGTGGGTTGGAGGCCACATAACGCGCGTTATGTCTTCGAGTGAAAAACGTCAGCTCCTCCTGTCCCGCCTGCAGCCATCGTGCTACCATGCGTAGCGCCAGCGTGAAGAACGAAGGGGGCTTTTCGAATCGCGGCGAGCCTCGGCCACGCGTGCAATTAGGCTCCATCTTGGCGCAGCACCGTTTCGATGCGCTCCTGTTCAGCCTGCAGCCATCGTGCTGCAGTCAAAACGTCTATTCAGGACGGGCGGTAAGGGCGCAAGACCCTTGGAGGCCGAAGCTGGGGTTTTTTGGGACGGCGGGCGATCTGCGAAAACGGCAGAGGACGGGCCGCAGAGGCACGGACACACGGATACCCCAGATGAGGGCGCGCGGCCTTACTATGCGCGCTGACCGTGCCATAAGGAGCGCCGGGTGAAGAACGAAGGGGCTTTCTTAGTCATGGCGAGCCTCGGCCACGTACAGGCTCCGAACCCTATGAATCGAACGAGCGGGCTGAAAGCTAGAGCCCCTCCAGAGCCCAAGGTGGTCCTTATCTCAGTGTCTTGACTGTACGAGCGGCCTTGAAGGCGTCAAGAATGCGATCCTAGCTTAAAATCAACACTTGGGCTGCACCCTCTGGCGAAGATCCGCAATCCTACGGACTCATACGGAAACCTATGGATTTCCCTAGGAATCCGCACAAGGTGGCAAGGAGTCGTGAGGACATCCAGGGAATCCCAAGGATTTCCAGGGGAAACTTCCGAAATAAATTCTGTAGGGAGCCTGAAGAATCCCACAGGAACCCAAAAGCTCCTGAGGAATCGGAAAGGTTCCACAAAGGTGTCCTAAGGTACTCCAGCGATCTCAGGAGCCCTGAGGACCTCCGCGGGAACCCGCAGCGTCTACTCATATAATCGGCTACACGCAGGAGTGACCCTGGGTAAGAGTGACCTTTGGCGCGCGGCTTTTTGGGGGCCGCGGGGCGACCAAACACAGGCGCGCAAGGCGCTACTATCGCATCGCGTTCGGCGATCGGGGGGGCCCCACTGGGCCCGCACCAAAGGTCGCTCCAGCGAAAAGTCACTCTTACGTCTAGTCGATATAATGAATTACCCTGCGAACGTCCTCAGGAATCCGAAGGACCTCCCCCAAAACCATACGCAACCCCGAGCCAGACCCCCGAGGCAGGTCGGCCCCGCACGAACAAGGCACCTGCACGGGCGCAGCGGGTGGGAGCCAGGGCGCCGGGCGCCGGTGCAGGACGGACTGGCCTCTCAGAAACTGTAGTCGGGTCGAAGCGGGCCCCCGGGCTAAGTTGTGGAGCGGGCCCCTGGCTGAGGGGTAGAGCGGGTCCCCGGGCGAAGTGGTAGAATGGGTGCGCGTAGTATTGGACCACCTGTAAGTGGTAGAAGAACGGTAGAAGGGTTCCAAGGTAAGTGGTAGAACGGACCCTCGAAGTGATAGAACGGGGTATTTTTGAAGCTGGAAGGTCGGAGAGATGTGGGAACGGGCGCCAGAGTCGTAAAAGATTGGGACGGGAATCGATCAGGCGGCACGGCACGGCACGGCCGTGCGCCAGAGTCGGTGAAGTGGGGGCCGGAGTCGGGGCCGGAGTCGGGGCCGGAGTAGGAGAGGTATGAGCCGGAGTCGGAGAGATCGGAGCCGGAGTCGGAGAGATGAAAACGGGCGTGGGGAGCCGGAGTCGGAGAGGTGGAATCCACGCGAATTCCGCTGGAAGCAAAAGGATTCCCTTAGCAATCGTATGGAGCTCCTCCGGAATCTGCAATAGATCGCTCGCACTCCTACAGGAAGTCATACGTAGTCCTTGTATTTCCTACGGGGTCATGCAGATTTTCTGGGAATCGCAGTGTAAGACTTTACGACGGGTCAAGTAGGACTTCACCGTGCGCATTTCGTGACGGATTCCGCCCTCCAGCGCTGCAGGACGCCACCTGTTGCAGAACGATTGCCGACGCCGCGCAGCTTCCGCGCGCGAGAGCCCGCCCGCGCGAGCGCGCGTGTCCCATCGCGCAGCGAAGCGCCACCGCAGTCGCGGACCGAGGCCCCCCAGCCAGCACTCGCGGACCAAGGCCCCCGCAGGTGCGACGCAGCTGCGGCCCCCGCACAGGGCCCCTTGCCCAGCGCGGGGGCCCGGTCGCGCAGCGAGGCGGCACCGCCGCCGCGGAGCGAGACTCCCCACGAGTACCCCGGAGCGGGACTGCGGCCAATGCAGAAATCCCCCGTCGCGCAGCAGAGAGGCGCTGACCCAGTCGCGGAGCGAGACCCCCAGGAGCGAGGCCCCTGCGGATGCGGCGCATGACGCCTACCCCGTTTTACAGGAAGCCGCGTGGGGCTAAGGCGAGGAAGGGAGCTGCCCCTCCAGCACAGGCGAGGCACGTGTTGTGGGTGCGGGGGCACGGGCGGTGCGAGTGCGCACTGGGGGATCCCACCCAGCACAATCCTGATGAGGGAATGGGATGCGTCCGCGCGGTCTCTCGTGGATCTCCTCCTCCTCCTCCTCCTCCTCCTCCTCCTCCTGCTCCTGCTCCTGCTCCTCCTCCTCCTCCTCCTCCTCCTCCTCCTCCTCCTCCTCCTCCTCCTCCTCCTCCTCCTCTTCCATCGACGACGACGACGACGACGACAACGACGACGACGACAACGACGACGACGACGACGACGAGGAAATGCGGGGGTGACCGGCTGCGTCCAACCAGGTGGCTGGAGCTGCTGATCGGGCGCGCCTGCCGGGGAGAGCGGGGGCCAGGGCAAGGGCGGGGACGGAGAGAGGGACAAAGCAGAGGGGCGAGGGCCGAGGGGCGGGGGGGCGGGCGAAACGGGGGGGGGGGGCGGAGAGCAAAGGGAGGGGGCAGGAAGCAAGAAACGGGAGGAGCAGGGAGAGGGAGAGCGGAACATGGAGCACGTATTGGTCTAGGTCTGAAAACCCAGGTCCAGGTAAACGAAGCGCTGGGGCGCGGGAGAAAGAGGGGGCTTTGGCCGCCATGTCGGCGCAGCGTGCACCGACTGGCCCCGCCCTCGAAAAAGCAAAGCGGCGAACGTAAGGGGGATAGGGCGGGGGCCAGAAGGAGGAGGGGGAGGAGGAGGAGGAGGAGGA